TTCTTGCTGCCATGTATGCATTGACTGTTAGTGCTGAGGGTGACTGCTACTTGTGTGTGCCGCCTGACCCTGGTATTGACCCCGGTATAAGGGCTGAAGCCCTAGGTGCTGGTGAGTCTGCTCCCCTTGGTACTGCGTTCGCTCAGGCCTTGCACACGTTTACACTTGACTCTGGTGCTTCCCGCTGTTTCTTTCGCGATAGCACCACCGTCATTCCCCTCCCTGCACTTGTCCCTGTTTCACTGGCCGACCCCTCAGGGGGCCCAGTACTTGCACGGTCCACTACTGTGCTTCCCTGTCCGGCGGTCCCGTCTGGTGAGCTGTCAGGTCTCCATGTTCCCTCGTTCTCCACGAACCTGGTGAGCAACGCCGTCCTTCAGGATCACTGGGTTGACACCTGGACCCCTGGAGGGCAGCGTGTGGCGATCTGCACGTGCTCCAAGACTGGCCGCCACCTGGCCACGTTCACTCGTGAGCTGGGGTCCAGTCTGTACACCCTCACCACTGTTTCACGCTACACTCATTTGTCTCCTCAGCTGTACGCGTCTGCTCAGGTAGCTACCCAGTGTGAGTGCCGTCGCCTGTCGCACGACACTCTCCTGTGGCACCACCGCCTTGGTCACCCCTCCCTGCCTCGCCTTCGTAGCATGCACTCTCGTTCCCTAGTCTCTGGGCTTCCCAGGTCTCTGCCTGCCCTCCCTCCCTCGCCTGCGCCACCCTGCATTCCCTGCGTCGAGGGGCGGCAGCGCGCCGCTCCTCACTCCTCCTCGTTTCCTCCCACAGAGGCTCCGCTGCAGACGCTCCACCTGGACGTGTGGGGCCCAGCCCGCGTCCAGGGACAGGGCCGTGAGCGGTACTTCCTGCTGGTTGTCGACGACTACACGCGTTACACCACGGTCTTCCCCTTGCGCAGCAAGGGGGACGTCCCTGCTGTTTTGATCCCCTGGATCCGCGCTGCTCGTCTCCAGCTCCGCAAGCGTTTCCAGTCAGACTTTCCCGTCCTGCGTCTGCACTCTGACAGAGGTGGTGAGTTCTCCTCCGACCTCTTACGAGCCTTCTGTGAGGAGCACGGCATCACCCAGTCGTTCACGCTTCCGGCCTCTCCACAGCAGAATGGGGTCGCTGAGCGCCGCATTGGCTTAGTCATGGAGGTCGCTCGTACCTCCATGATCCATGCGGCGGCTCCCCATTTTCTGTGGCCGTTTGCGGTCCGATACGCCGCGCATTAGCTCAACCTCTGGCCCCGTGTCTCCTTGCCGGAGACCTCGCCCACACTGCTGTGGACGGGGGAGGTTGGCGAAGCGTCGCGTTTCCGGGTCTGGGGTGCTTGTGCCTTTGTCCGCGATCTCACTGCGGACAAGCTCTCTGCTCGCGCCATTCCCTGCGTCTTCCTTGGTTTTCCTCCTGACGCGCCTGGCTGGCAGTTCTACGACCCCACCTCGCGCCGCGTCTTTGCGTCTCAGGACGTCACCTTTGACGAGTCTGTTCCCTTCTACCGTCTCTTTCCCTACCGCACGGCCTTTCGCCCCCCGCCGCTCTTTCTCACTCCAGGTCCTCCCCAGGTAGACCCCCTCCCCGCGCCAGGTCCTGCTCCTTCAGGTGTTTCTCAGGTAGACCCTCCGGTACCTGCGCCTGCTGAGGTCACTGGTGACTCAGGTCCTGCTGAGGGTGGTCCTGCTCGAGGTGCTGTTCCTGGGGTGCTGAGCTTGGGGGTGTCGAGTTTGAGGGTGCGGAGCCTGCGCGAGGGGAGCCTGGAGGTTCTGAGCCTAGGGGTGCGGAGTCTGGGGGTGTTGTGCCTACGCGTGAGGAGCCTGGAGGTGCTGGTGCTCGAGGTTCTGGAGCAGCTGAGGGTGCTGGCGCTGAGGGTTCTGAGTCTGCTGTTCCGCGGTCTCCTTGGAGTAGCCGCCTTCGTCCGCGTGTGCCTCTCACCCCACAGCAGCTGCAGGGCTGGTACGGTCGCCGTCAAGTTCGCGCTGCTGGAGCCCTTGGCTCTGCTGCTGGAGTCGCTGGTTCCGGAGTTGCTCGTACTGGGGGTACTGGGGCTGCTGGGGCTGAGGGTGCTGCGTCTGGAGGTGCTCCTGCTGGAGAGACTGAGGTTAGAGACCATGGGATTGGAGGTGCTGGTTTTGGGGGTGCTGCTACTGGAGACACTGAGGTTGGAGACCCTAGGACTGGAGGTGCTGGTTCTGGGGATGCTGCTACTGGAGACACTGAGGTTGGAGACCCTGGGACTGGAGGTGTTGGGACTGGAGCTGGGACTGGAGCTGCTGGAGGTGCTGGAGCTGCTGGAGGTGCTGGAGCTGCTAAAGCTGCTGGAGCTGCTGGAGGTACTGGAGCGTCTGGAGCTGCTGGTGCTGGTGCAGCTGCGCCGACACGACTGTTCTTCGCTCCGCCGTCTCCGTCGTCTCTGCCGCCGCCTGACTCTCTTCTTCGTCAAGTTCTTACTCTCCCGTCGTCTACTGGTCTTCCGTTACAGTCTGGCTCACCACTGCCTGCTCCTTCTCCTTACGCTGAGCAGACAAGTAGTCCGGCTGAGCGTCGTGCGCCTGCGTCGCGTCCTGTCTCGCCTGTTCGTCCTGATCATACCGGTCGTCGTGGTCCTAGTTCGCGCCAGCCGGCTGTCCCCAGCGCGCACCTCGTAGTCCGTCGTCCTTCCTCTGCTCCGCAGCTTGTCTCTCTGCCGTCTCCTCCTGCGTCGTCTTTGCCTGACGTTCCGGCCCCTGCGTATGACCGGTTTCGTGCTGAGCACCCTACTGTCACGCGTCTCTTAGCCACTGTTGTCACTGACCCGTCGTTTGAGTCTACTGTCGCGTCTGCTCTGGTCGCTGAGCTTGTTGACTTTGCTGCTGTCTGTCGTCTAGACTTCGCTACCAGTCTTGTTGCTGAGTCTGAGTCTGCCTGTCCTCCGTCCGTCGGGGGTGAGTGTGCTCTTAGCACGGACGTCCTTGAGGACAGGCACGAGGACCTTGAGTGTCTTGCGGCTGCTGCGCCTCATCTCGTGGCCATGCTGGTTGCCCCTGAGGGAGACCCGGATGCACCAGACATCCCGACCCCGCGCTCATTCGCAGAGGCGATCGCGGGTGAGTACTCCTCTCAGTGGCACACAGCCATAGACGCAGAGATGGCATCATGGAAGTCCACAGGCACTTACGTCGATGCGGTTCCCCCTCCTGGGCAAACATCGTCGATGGCATGTGGATTTTCAGGGTGAAGCGGCCGCCGGGCTCTCCGCCTGTCTTTAAGGCTCGTTACGTTGCCAGAGGCTTCAGTCAGCGAGAGGGAGTTGACTTCTTCCAGACCTTCTCCCCGACCCCGAAGATGACCACTCTTCGGATTCTGCTGCACGTCGCCGCTCAGCGTGACTACGAGCTCCACTCTCTTGACTTCAGCACTGATTTCCTACAGGGCAGCCTGCACGAGGAGATCTGGTTGCGCCGCCCACCTGGCTTCACTGAGTCGTTCCCTCCTGGTACCCAGTGGAGCCTCCGGCGGCCAGTCTACGATCTCCGCCAGGCGCCTCGTGAGTGGCACGACACACTGAGGACTACACTTGCGGCTCTTGGGTTCGCTCCTTCGACTACTGACCCGTCACGGTTCCTGCGCACCGACACTTCGCTGCCGCCGTTCTACATCCTCGTGTACGTCGACGACTTGGTTTTTGCCACAGCTGACACTGAGGCTCTCGCCTTGGTGAAGTCGGAGCTGCAGAAGAAACACGCGTGCACAGACCTGGGTGAGCTGCGCAGTTACCTTGGCTTGCAGATCACTCGGGACAGAGCACGCCGCACCATCACACTGACTCAGTCACACATGGTGCAGCAGGTCCTTCAGCAATTCGGCTTCACTTGGTCCTCGCCGCAGCACACTCCTCTGGCTACAGGTCACTCGCTCTCAGCTCCACCTACGGACGAGTCCGTAGAGCCGAGTGGTCCTTACCCAGAGCTCGTGGGCTGCCTCATGTACCTGATGACCTGCACTCGTCCTGACTTAGCGTACCCTCTTGGCCTTCTCGCTCGCTACGTGGCTCCTGGTAGACACCGACCAGAGCACATGGCTGCTGCTAAGAGGGTACTGCGCTACTTGTGCAGTACATCGGGCATGGGGCTCGTGCTTGGAGGACGGAGTGAGGTGGTCCTCACTGGGCACTCAAACGCTTCTTGGGTTGACGACCAGGCTACACAGCGGTCGTCACAGGGTTACACCTTCAGCCTTGGCTCTGGCTCTGTTTCTTGGCGGTCTACACGCTCGTCTTCTGTTATCAGCTCCAGTTGTGAGGCTGAGATCTACGCCACCGCCATGGCTGCACAGGAGCTACGCTGGCTTACCTACTTGCTGACTGACTTGGGTGAGAGGCCTCGTTCTCCTCCAGTTCTGTACGTTGACAACAAGGCAGCCATTGCCTTGTGTGAGGAGCACAGACTGGAACACAGAACGAAGCACATCGCTCTGCGTTACTTCCTGGCTCGAGAGTTGCAGCAGCGAGGGCAGCTTCGTCTTCGTCACGTGACCACTCGGGCCAACACTGCTGATATATTCACCAAGGCACTTTCGTCTGGTGATCATCAGCGCTTTTGTACCTTGTTAGGCCTTGTGCCTACGTTTCCTCACTTGCTGTAGTCTTTGCTTGTACTGTGATCTATCTATATACCTGCTTGCTGGCTCTTGTTAGATAGTCATCACTGTACTGCTATTGCTGCATGTATATCTATGCTTGTGAACTGGCCCCGTGGCCCTTTGCTTGTGCTCAGACAGTGTGGTGACTTTGTGATCCACCCTGAGTTTGCTTTGCTTCTTTTGACTTGTCTTGTGACCCTTTGTTCTCCCCCACTTTGCCTATGGGGGTGTGTCAAATGATATATATGTGTTATATATATAGGTAGGCTGCAGTGGGGTAGATGTTATAGAGGATAGAACTTTAGGGTTATGCCCCTTGTACCAAACTCTCTCGAGCATTGACTCAACCTTGCCTAGCTATGTCATCAGAATAAGGTAAAGCTGCCTCAAAGAACAGCATGTGAACTAACCTGTGAGGGGGGTGTGCCGTCGAGAATCAGCTTCTCAAGGTAAGCTGTCACCTCCTCCTCCCCGGTCTGCTGCAATGCGTCCAGGTCCTTTCGGGGGAGGCCATCAATTACCAGGGTGAATTCCCCTTTTGGCCCCCGAGCCGTGAACTCCGCAAGTGCTTCTGAGAGTGTCCCTCGCCACAGCTGAGCAAGAGAGCGGACAAACGCAACATTGCGGGCAGGATTCAGCTGAGGACAAACAGAACAAATTGTTGAAGACAGTGTGTTTGAGTGGATGAGAGAATGATACGGTATGTGTATGTGGGGAAAAGAAGGAGAAACATGGAGCATGAACTCCATACGTTAATGAAGGTGCTATGTTTTTCAAGAATATCCGAACCTCTTCGTGCAGCTTGGTAAGCTCCCGAGCCACGAGGCACGGACGGTCCGGGCCAAAGGCGAGGATGCAGTGGGAGAGCGAGGAGAGAAGCTTGTGCGGCGCCACAAACAGCACCTGCATCGCCTCCCCCTCCGCTGCTTCCTGCAGCCGACGCTGCCGCACTGCCGACCGCTCTGGGAGAAACCCCACTGGATGGGCAAGGCAATGAAGAAGGAGGCATGGAAATGGGAGGAGAGCAGCTTGTGTGACGCCAAAGTGCGGAAAAATCCACTTTTGAGACGTCTCAAAAGTCAGCTTGTGCGATGCCTAAGTGTGCTGCAATGCGAAGAGACAAAGCAGAGCATGACAGCAGAAGACGCAGATCACCCACATGAGCCTCGTCACGCACAGAAGGTGAAGCCGTTGGTGAGAAAGCCAGCTGCCGCAACCGCAGTGGTGGCAGCAGACGGGCCGGGAATCACGCTGACGGGGACTGCTGACTCAGCGCACGCAGCGACCAGGTCAGCGCCGGGATCGCTGACGCCCGGCATGCCTGCGTCAGACACGAGCGCCAGCGATTGGCCGAATCGCATCCGACCAATGAGAGCCTCTCGACGAGCCGTGGCATTGAATGCATGATAACTCATCTGCACATTGTAAAGTACAGACGGGGGAAAGTAAGAGCTGATTTGAATGTCGTAACAGGAAGAATAAGGGACGGAGCAGGGGAGAGAGGGAAAGAAAGGAGCGTGTGCTCTCAACATGTAGGATCCTAAAGCCAATAAAAAAAGCAGCCCACCATGGGTGTGGTGATGTTGTAGAAGCGCAATAGCTTGACGGAGCGGCGCGTGTCCTCTGCTAGAATGAGGTCGGCACAGCGCAGCACCCTCAGCGCCCTGGTGGGATGGTGATGGGGGATGGTGGTGTGGGATGGTGGGGTGGGATGGTGATGGGGGATGGTGGTGTGGGATGGTGGGCTTGGGATGATTGGCACATCGCAGCACCTGATGGTAGCCACACCAATCTGATGGTAACCGCAACCATCTAATGGTAACCACACCCACCTGATGGTAACCGCACCCACCTGATGGTAACATCTTCTAAGTTGCCGATAGGAGTTCCCACCAGATACAGCCCAGGGGCCAAGCGCAGCTGCAGGTATGCACAAGAGGGGGGGGAGGGAGGGGGGAGGAAGTGGGGGAGTTTGAGGCGCCTCAGAAGTTGCCGATAGGTGTTCCCACCAGACACAGCCCAGGTGCCAAGCGCAGGTGCAGGGGTGCAGTGCATGATTGTTGAAGGAGGGGAGAGGGAAGGGGAGTGTGTGGGAGGGGGATGGGGAGGGGAAAGGTTAGGTGGGGCAAAAGAGGGCGAGTGCAGGGATTCAGGAAAAGGAGGTGGGGAGTTGTAAAAGGCATGGTGCTCCTTGGAACCACGTGGAACCACGTGGGACCACGTGGGACCACTTGGAATCACACAGATTCCTACACGACGGGTGATACCTTGTCCGGCCATTTGCACATGTCCTCGTTATAGAGCCGTTCGTTACTGCCTTCTCCGTCCTTTGCTAATACTTCCTCCTCCTGTGCTCCTTCCTCCTCGCTGTTCCCCCTCAACATCAGCTCCGAGTCGCCTCCCCGCGTGTCGCCTCCACTCGTATTGCCGCCCATTGCGCTGCGCCTCTCGGCTTGCGCCCGACAGATCTCACTGTCGTCAGCCGTCGTCCCGCCAACCGCGGCAGAATCATCTCGCGCGATTCCACCAGCCGTTACTCCGTCGCGCTGCGCACATCCCCTGAAACCCCTCTCCGAACCCGCGTAGAATCCGCGAGAGCACAGAAACGCTCTTTTCCGCTGTCCTCGCGAACTTGCGTTCCATGGCTGCGACGGATCCCCTTCAGGTGAATCCGTTCGCCCGTGTTTTCCGGAGACATTTGTGAAGCCTCGAAAAGCAAACGAATGTCGATTCGCTGCTTGTATTCTTCGCGTGGGATTCGGAGCTACGCTGCGAGTGAGCTTTCGTGCGGCCCTTGATAACACCAGCCTGCCCGCAGCGTGCGCTGCAGCCATGGCACCTCGTCAGTCAGCAGTTCAGAAGCATACGCACGTCGGAGAGTGTGAGTTGCGGCGAATCTGACGACAACTTGTGAGGAGGGCCCTTCAAATTCGGTAGATTCTCGTTCTCCGCACAATTCGCCATGAAATACGGCACGTGTTGTGGCATCGGGGGGAACTCGAGAATTTCTAGTGCTAGCACTTAGATGCCATTGATCATATCTTTTAGGGAGAATATCTCAATGGTAACTTACCTGGGGCACTATAACGCGTACGGTAACGATTTCAGCACGTTTGGTAGCTCGCTTAACACGTTTGGTAACTCGCTTAACACGTATGGTAACTTAACACAGGCGAGTGATCACCCGAATGGTAACTACATGAAACTCCCGCCGAAATGATCCTGAGATCGAGGAACTTATCGAGTTTGAAAGCTTTTACGCACAGTTTATCTTTCTTGAACAACTCGCGCCGCGACTTTGAAGGACCTCGTTAGTTCTTGTTACGAATAGCAATGAATGAAAATTACAGTACACTCCCGACCGCAGCCAAAGAAGCATGCAGTATCGAGAACGAACGTGAAGAGTCAGAGTTGACTCGAAACGTCAGACGAATGAGATGCATCTGAACCGTCGGAGCAGACGGCATCAGGCAGCTGCAGGCAAAAGGGTATTGGCGGGAACAGTTTCGTAAATATACGCGCCACACGGTTGGGAATTAATTTGAATAAGAGAATGTACCCTTTATAGTAGATGGCTAGCTACGAAGATTCATATTTACTTATACTCTTATTTATATCGTTGTATTTGCATGCTTTAATTTATCTCAAGCATTTTACATTCACTCTGCTATTGAGATTGTTACTATGTGAAACTTTGTGAAGGCACTCCTGAATGCTGCAGGAGCCGACTCTACCGAGTACGAAGATGAGGAGTCAGAAAGTGCCGAAGCGACACAGCAACCGTCAGACTAAGACCGATGCAGGCAGAAACATTTGAAGTGAAAAGAGCGGGAACAGGTTTTTCCCGCGCCGCACGGTTTCTTTGAATTCAGTTGCAATAAGGGAATGTACCCCTTAGAGTACATGGCTAGTCTAGGACCTTTCGTATTCTCCTGTACTCTTATATAAACCCGATGTATGCATGTTATCATCATCTCAGTCATTTTACATTCACTCTGACCTGAGGTCCCAAAACTTCCGCTGCAATACCATTTGGGATTGTAACATGGTATGAGAGCTACTCAGGAATTCTTCGCAACTTCACTTCTAAGAAACCCGCCGAATCGAAACCTGGCGAGCGGCACACGCTCCAAGACCAAGATGGCCGGAGGATCCGGAGGTCAAGCAAATCTGACGGCTGAAGGACAACCCAACCCAATTGCGACAAATGAGGCGACAACCACGATTGGCACTGCCGCCCTCGAGCAACTTTTCGCTCGACTTTCGACCATGGAGAAAGAACTCCAAGAACTGCGCAAAGGCGATGCGGGAAACTACTCCCAACCAGCACAACCTGGACAACCGGCCGAGAAAAGCCGTGATACCGCTGCGCACACCTTCTCCCTCGACACAAACAAATCAGCAACAACTGCCCCCCGTCCAAGTGATGAGGCTATCAACTCTGCGCAAACACGCTTCCTCAGCGTTTCAAAAATTAAGACTACTGCCGCGTTCGACGGCAAGGATTTCTACACATGGAGTTTTGAGCTAGAGCTCCTCCTACAAACGGCGCAGATCTACCATTACTTCGACGGTTCCTATTCTAAACCGGTGGAAAACACCGACGTCGCCAGTGTCAGAACATATCTATAGCTTATACTGCTGTGTAGGCTGTAGTGGGGTATCCCATAGGGGGTACAACCCAGTTAGGGTTTCATATTTGTACTGCTTTCATTCATAGTTCACTCATTCCTGTTTTCCTACTTTCACATGGTATAGAGCGGGTCCTACCTTAGGACCGTTGTCTGGGCCCACCGACGCGCGCCCCGAGGCGCGCCCTTTTTTTTAGCGACCCCTCGGGTCGCCTTTTCACTCGCGGCCCCGCCGCCTCCTCTGACGCGGCTTTGCCGCCTCCCCTGACGTGGCCCCGCCGCCTCCTTTAACGCGGCCCCGCCGCCTCCCTTGACGCGGCCCCGCCGCCTCCCTTGACGCGGCCTCGCCGCTTCCCCTGACGCGGCCCCGCCGCCTCCCCTGACGCGGCCCTGCCGCCTCCCTTGACGCGGCCCCGCCGCCTCCCTTGACGCGGCCCCGCCGCCTCCCCTGACGCGGCCCGGCCGCCTCCCCTGCCGAGGCCCCGCCGCCTCCCCTGACGCGACTCCGCCGCCTCCCCTGACGCGGCCCCGCCGCCTCCATTGACGCGGCCCCGCCGCCTCCCCTGACGCGGCCAAGCCGCCTCCTCTGACGCGGCTCCGCCTCTACTGCCGACGGCCCCGCCGCTGCACTCTACGGCCCGCCGCTGCACCCTGCCGGCCCGTCGCTGCTCCTGCCGGCCCGCCGCTGCACCCTGCCGGCCCGCCGCTGCTCCTGCCGGCTCGCCGCTGCACCTACCGGCCCGCCGCTGCACCCATCGGCCCGCCGCCTCTTACGGCCCGCCACTTGCACCTGCCGGCCCGCCGCTGCACCTGCCGGCCCGACGCTGCACCTGCCGGCCCGACGCTGCATCTCCCGGCCGAGCCGCCCCAACAGCCGAGCCGCCAGGGACCCGAGCCGCCCTGCCGCCGAGCCGCCCGGGAGCCGAGCCGCCCTGCACCCGAGCCGCCCAGCCGCCGAGCCGCCCGGGAGCCGAGCCGCCCTGCACCCTAGCTGCCCAGCCGCCGAGCCGCCCGGGAGCCGAGCCGCCCTGCGCCCGAGCCGCCCAGCCGCCGAGCCGCCCGGGAGCCGAGCAGCTGTGCACCCGAGCCGCCCGGTCGCTGAGCCGCCTTTCTGCTGACTGCACGACCTGCCCTGCCTGGTGAGCACTGTCCCACTGACACTGCGAGCTCTTTCCCTACTGCTTGCACTGCGTCGCTGTCGTCACCATGGCTACCCCTAGTGTCCTAGCTTTTGACGCTGAGGGTCGCGCCATTGATTTTGAGGTCTGGTTAGACGACCTGCAGCTGTTCTTACAGTGCGACAGGGCTGACGACCTTTCTCTCTTTGACCTCACCTCTGGCGCCTCTCCTGCCCCTGCTGCTGATGCTGATCCCGCTGTCCGCTCTAAGTGGGCCACCCGCGATGCTGCTGCACGTCTTGCTGTGCGTCGCCACCTCCCTACCCCTGAGCGTGCGCACTTTAGTCAGTACAAGAGTGCTCAGACCTTGTACGACGCTGTAGTTGCGCGCTACTCCTCCCCTGCCACTGCTGCACTGAGCCGTCTCATGCTTCCCTACCTCTTTCCTGACCTCTCTGCCTTTCCCACTGTCGCTGACCTCATTACGCACCTCCGCACTAGTGACACTCGCTACCGCGCCGCCCTTCCTGCTGAGTTCTGCGCTAAGAACCCCCCCCCCATGTACATCGCTCTCTACTACGTAGTCGCACGCCTCCCTGACTCCCTTCGCGT